GTGAAGGCATCTACGGTTGAAGAAGTTAAAGGACGTTTGAGCAAATTTAGCTTCAATTCAGGAAGACTAATTATGCCATTTCCAGTTAGCTTACGAGAATAACGTGGGGGGGAGGGGATTTGTGGAAGCGGGTCTCTGTGCCACTGCTGAGGGAGCCAAGTGACAGATGGATTCCAAACATTAATTCAAGTTTTATAGGGTAATCATGATGTGTGGCAGCATTGACTGTGTTGAGTGTAATTAAGAAACCAGTAAGAAGGTAGTGCCATTCGCATACGGAGTTGACAAGGGGGAACTTTTCATTAGCCAAAGGTGTGTACTTACGTCGCCTTTGCTTAAAAGTTAGCAGTCATCAAAATCCACTACACTTCACTATCGTCAACAAAACTCACTAATCGCAGAGAATTAAATAAAACTAACTGAAATTCTTAATCGGAATCTATTTTCCTTTTCTTAAAGTTGGCAACCACGTATTCCTACCTTGAGGGAATTCACTTCCATCTCAGTGTCAGGCACGCGCAGAGACTGAACACATTACTAAGTAATAAATTTATTTAATTTCCAAATATAGTATTTCCAGTAAAATTCGCAAATCAGGTCAAAAGGTGATGACATAATAGCACAAAGTCCCAATTTGAGTATGTGGAAGTGGATATACTGGAGTAGCACTTAAGGCTTTTGACTTAAAACAAGTGCCTAATAATGACTTTCGGTATCAGATCTACTTTATTTGGCTAATAAGAATAAAGCAATTAACTCATTTCAAAGCAACTCCATATACAAAGCAACCATAAGGGCTTTGAGACTTCCCTGAGGGTGAAAAAAGACGCATTACTGAGGTCGAGTATGTATTGCCAACGTACGGAAGGAATAGGGGGGCTTTAAGTGCCCGCGAAACAGAAACGACGAATTAAACAAATGACCAAGATATTACATATCCCCTTCCCCTCCTTTTTCAGTGTCGTTATTAACGACTACCCAGGTCAAACTCTCCTGTTGGCCACCATAATATATTCGGTGCTCTAAGGAAAAACACCCATGGACGAACCGCGTTAGCCATCAAATATGCGTTCAACTCAGAAAATACTTGACTGCAATGTCGCTAATTCTATTCGTCAAATCTACTAGATTTGAATAGCAGTCCTGCTTGGGAACTGTAACGAGGGGAGGCGGGTGGTGCGGCTATCTCGTATGTCCACCACAAGTTGTAAGAACGCTAGCCTAAAGGCAGTCATTTGATAAGAGACAGATTTTAAAATACCTGCTTAAGAATAATGTTTCATGTTTATTCCCTCTTAACACTTTGTTCTCACTTTACCGCCGACCAGTTGTACTACTATCTGGGTTCTGCCTAGCTAGTAATGATGAGGAAGACGAGGTAACGCGTGTTCACTGTATTGAGATCATTATACAAGCACGCTAGGCAGCTTTGTAAGGAAATTTTTAAATTTTTTCAAGTCTAGTGTTGCCTCAGTTGTTAATGGCATTCCTACAGAACACGGATTTGGGGTATTAGCCGAAGGTAGGGGTCATTTTCAACCCTTCCGTTAGGGGTGATTAAAGATTCCCCCATCTGCAGTATGAGCCCCTTTTCCGTCACGTTAATGTTTAGGATTCCTTAATGGAAATTAGGGTGAATGTCCTTCACTATCGGGTTTGCTTCCCACTGCCACTAATGTAGCACTCCGAGACTACCTTGAAGACGAAAGAATACATAATACTTGGGTAGACTAGGTATTGCTGAAGTTGAGAAGGGCTGAGGGGCTAGTGACAAGGCATGGCGGCCATACTGCCCAGTGGAATTACAGAAGCGGAGTCTTCAGTGCTTACAAAACCAAATGAAGAATTAATCGAATATATCACCAAATAAAAAGTTATGCCTTCGTTTACGCTAAAAATTTCTAACCATACCAAATGAGTGCTTATCCCTCCGGAGGCCCGCCACCTGTAAGTGATGCATCACTACGTTTTTGACTTACCAAATTTCCAGTCTGTACTTCGGTGTGATTTAAAAAGAAGTTGATGCGTTTAATCCCTTTAAAAAATGCATAGAAAATAGCAAAAAGAATAAGATATCTAGCCTTCATTTTTTTACCACGCATAATCCGTCTCAGGAACAATAAGGAGTACCCCCAATCAAGTGCACACACTGGTGTTTTGCCATAATTAGCCAATATATTTGTTTTTTTTTTAATCAAAATTCGTATTCCTTTCTTTGGATGATTGAATCCTTTCTCACTGCGTCAATGTTCTAAATGTCAGTGAATCCAATTAATTTCTTATATTCCTCTTTAATTCTATGACCGGACTCCTCAACTACTTTACTTGCAATTTGTCGTCTAACTTCATTGTTTAACAAGAGACGAAATAATTTTGAAGTATTACTTACCATTTGCCATAGTAAGTAATATACTGTGCTCCCAACTGAGACGAGTAAAACATTCGCCTGTTAGAATGTGCTTACTGCTTAAGCACTGAGTTGAAGGAGAAGTGTTTTTGTAAGTTCGCTTCTGTATTCGGACGGCAGATGGTGCAAAGTTTGCCACCATCTGGAGAAGTTTACTTCCACTACAGTTCTCTACTCCGTACTGGCGCCTCGCAGACTAGGCCATCTCTTCCTTATAGTCGGTCTGTACCCTGTGTAAACACGTTATTCACGCCTGTGTTTATAAAGTCGGGCTCATGTTGGATCAATTTTTTGTTCCCTTAGAGGACAAAATCACTAGCATCTCGATTTCCGAAAGTGAAAAATGAGAATTCATATATTCTCACACGCGAGTGAAGGAACACTAAAATTTGCGCTTATTAGAGTCGTTCATTTTGCTTTATTCTCAATGTGAAAATGTTTTGGAAAAATGCTATAAATTAGGAAGGTCTCAGTTTATCTGAGACCAACACAACATTAAGGGTAGATCTAATGAAACATATGTGGCAATAAATACGGGAACTATGCAAGGCATCTTGGACAAGATCCGTCCTTTGGTTTACCACATTGTCGATACAATTATGCAGGTTTCAAAAGACAACTGGCCCCTATGACTCTTACCGTCGCAGTTTACTTATTTTTCTTTGACCAAATAAATTATGAGCTTTAATTATTATTCATCGCAAATAATCATGGCTTAAAATTTAGTCTTGAGTTCTGCTGACTGTTGTGAACAAATGCTTGTGCAATTGCATATTTAGCTACGCAGGCCTTTTGGTCTCCGGGGTTCATACATCCGCTTTGGTAGTATGGTTGAAAGACGATGACTACAGCCTCTCAACCCTTCTGTACACTGATAAGAAGCTATTCCACCAAAGCGATATGCCTTCAGAGTATACGCAGAGCAGTAAGTGCACCAAGTCGAAATGCTACAGGTTGAAGGTATCTGTTATGATTAGTTTGATCTGCAAAATTCTTCACAGTAGGGTTAGGATGGCGTCTGCTTCTGTGAAGTCATGGGTTACGAGCTTCACACATTCACCACTCTTGTAATGAGATCATGGACTAACAAATAAATTCAAAGTTAGAGGAGAGTTTGTTATAGGTCTCTGGAATCACCGATTTACATCATGGTAAGGGAACATGGCACTCCTCTTCATCAGGCTCCTTTCGGGAAGTTTCTCTCCAAAAATCAATCTCTTCGTTGTGAAATACCTTGCAGCACTCAACTCACTTTCTTGAATAGATTCTTCCCCCACACAGTTCACGTAGCAAAACCGCGGCATATACTACCCATTAATGAAGTTGGACTGCTTCACTTTTAATTCTAGTTCACCAAGAAATTCTTTGTGGCCATGATATCGGAGTCATTACTGAAGTCGTCAAGGAGGATGCTTAAAAGTAAAAGGACTTATAGAACAATTCGCTATTTGGTTTGGCGTGATTCAACTAAGTGGGTTCTTTAGTCTCTACACCTTATGTTCTCGTCTTATTTTCATGACCTTCCAAACACTCTAGCTTCATTCAAACAAACGAAGTTTTATAATTTTATAAGTGAGTTCCTTTTTCCAAATTTAGGACAGTGTTCACTTAAAACTCAAAAGTGCAGTTCTATTGTTAAATACAAGCAAGAAATCTGTGATTAGGCTAAACAAGATTAATGATATGGGCCTAGATGTAGATTGATCTTGGAGATACTGAAAGCACTGTGACGAAAAAAGCACCGTTAATTGTTTGTTTAATGCACTGCTTAAATATCGGGACATTAGGAGCTTCGCCATTGTAAGTCAGCTGGGTGGCGTGGCCTCTAGGCCATCCCAGTTGCATATTCTTTCTGATTACTGTGTTTTCTTTGGTCCTTAGAGAAGTCTCAGTGCACTGCACACCGAACTTGGGCCCCTACAAAGGACTAAGAAACACAGTGAAATTTATTTTTAAATAGAATTGTACTAACATTTACTGGCGATTTAATTTACAGCCTGTATATGCACCCAAATCATACCTCATCTCTTTACGCGTTTTTCTTGTTTTGAAATCAAGTCACTTAGCTTACTTATTACTTGTTTAGAATGAGTACAAAATCAGTACAAGCAACAACTACAATATGTGCCTATCGTAATACTTAATTGAGATGCAAATAAAAACAAAACACGTCTATTTGGACTTTTAAGAATTCGAGCTCATGGTCTAAAAGCAGCCAATGAACACTGAGATCGGTAATCTTCTGCCTGGAGTGGAAAACTAGTGGACACTGACAGACGACACAACTAGCTGCGAAGCTGAGAACTGGTGTTTGAGCCGTGCTTTTAAAGTCCATTTCTCCATCCTAACTGTTGGCTAAATATATTTGTTAGTTACAGTTCTAGACGTAATTTTTTAATAAACTTAACCAGTTGTTTTATTACCTCCTCAGTGAATAAATGTGTTTAGTATGCAAATCAAGTCATATAAATGGGAGACAATTTCAGACGTAATTATAAATAGGGAACTCTAGTGCAACATCAGAGTAGTGTTTTTAGGATGGAACATATTTTAAAAGAGGAGATGAATTCAGATATCCGCTACTTTGAGCCGACATTTTGATTGCCTTATAACCCGATGGCTTAGACAGCTATAGCGAATAGCCTATTATTAGTCCCGGCAGCTATAATTCTAAGGTAAGTTAATCAAACTTCTAAGTGATATCTGATAAAGGGAAACTGTAACCCATAATCAAAATCCCAACGAAGCAGTTTAGTGACAAAAATGAGCAAATTCGTAGATAAAATATCAAGATTTCGATGAGGAAAGTGATCTTATGCGTACAGCCGTCAGTCACTAAAAACTTCTAAAAACTGGTTTCTCTCCTTCAAGTCAAGGTTCTTGGTAGGTGTCTCCCCTACACGAATCCACTCCGTTGGTGTTTACGTATTTGCTAAGGTGACAAATCTCAATCCCCCACATTCCCTATCACACTCCAGTCCACATTCCAAATGAAATGCATCAAGAGATGGCACATTGCCGCTAAAACACTCTCCTTGAATAGCAATTCCTTAAGTACTCAGATCGCGTGAATCGCCTACTTGGTGTTGATCTAAATTACTCCTCTCCTAGGGGATACGTAAGACACCCTTGTCCTCTGTACAGACCTGCAATCGGAGGCGGCAATGCCAAAAGCTCACTTCTAGGCAATCGTAGAAGCCAAGTTGGACCTGGTAGCTAGTCGACTAATGGTTTCATAGTCGCATGGCTTGAAGGTGAGGCGTTGCTGTGCCGAGTTGCAGCGAGTTGCATCGACCTACTCCTCTAACTTATATTATGCATCGTTTACAAGCCACCACTGTGTTCGATGACCGGCTTGGCCACGGTTTGGACTGTTTTCTCATCCTCATAATCACTTCAGGGTTGAAGTCAATGGTAGAATCGCTTTCTTTCGTTCTGGATTAAGTTTAATTATGAGTGGTGTTAGGACACCACGACACGCAATATCTTCTACTTAGGTTTAAGGTGATGTCCGGGTGGAGAGATAAGTGCACTGTCCAAAGCTTTTGTTCGATGTCTACCCAAAAAATGGCATTATCTACGCTATAAAACAGGCAACTGTTAAAAGCCAATTCTGATATTTGTGATTTTTCAAACTCAAAAACGACAAAAATAGACGTAAAGGTGTGTTGGGAAACGAGCTTGTTGACAATAAACTTGGGTCATTTATGTTGTGTAAATATCCAAAGGCGTATACATTTGGAAGAAGCCATTGCCTCACAGAAAGTTAAACATGTTCACCAACGGCAAACCGGCAAAGTTAGGTTATCTAGGGGTAACAGCTGCTTAAATGACCTAAACCATGGAAATTATACAACCTAATAATTGACAGTTTCTTGTAGTTACGCCGATTTACCTCTCTAATCAGGTATCTTGTAGTCCTCATTCTCTTTTCTCCTGGTTGCACATATTATTAATTAAAAATATGCACATCAATTAGATTTATAAAAGCATGCTTTGGTCGGTTAAAATCAGTTTTAAAGTGGTGCATTATTCCTAACCTCTTGGTACTAATAACAAATTGACATTCTTATAGTGCAATACTAAGGATTTGTTTGTTACAAGCAGGAGCTTTGGGAGTTCTTGCATGATTTAATTTCCTCTTGTGTACATCACTCAATCTATTCTCCCGTGTCTTCCCTAAACAGAATCACTTAATTAGTAGGGCTCAGCAATTTCTCGTGGTAGAACGCAAAGCTCCTGCCAATACGTGCTCATATACAAGTTTGTGAAATTAAAAGGAGGTCTCAAGGGTTGTCTGATATTTTGTTAAAATTTTTCCTGGTTTTTAATGCTTTAGTGGCTTAACTCCTGATTTTGGCAACATAACCGAGGGCCTAAGTGCGTGAACGTTTGGGTGGAAGAGAGGCACACCGAGCCTATTATATTGGTGGCAACGCAAAGGAAACCCTATCCTAAAGGACAGCTATCTTGATTTCTATTACAAAATTTAAAATCTATCATGACGGAGAAAGTACACATACTGTGGATGGGAAAATCTGTTGACAACCAACAGAAGGGTTGAAAATATCATCTACACCTAATGACCACCCCAACACCGTCCTCTGCAGAAATGCTGTTAATACCCAAAGCGATACAAGCTGTGAACCATCAAAAATATCCCTTTGCATAGCTGTCTACAGCACCTGTATGTAGGTGTCATTTAAACGAACACGGAATATCTCTTCCAATTCTCTGGTACCTTGATAGAATTCAGATAGATAAATATTGCTGGGCAGCTCAGAAGTGAGAAAAATTGTCAGGGACGAATAAGCGAGACTTTTTCTTCACACAGCCATATCAAACGCTCTTTGGTGATGTGACTCCGCTTTTAGGTCAGTGTTCCTACTCCCAACAATGGACATACGTGACTGCCAGTACATTCCCTCGTAACCCTAGATCCCCCTCCCCAGGATGCACCTCCAGACCCGGTAGAACTATGAAGATCGGTCATTGACGTCGCAGTCAGATACCCTCTCAGTTGCACGTAAAACCGATGACTGCAGCGGATGGTTTGTAAGTACTTTTCTTTCAGCATTAATTACTCTATGATGGTCGACACAAAGAATTGACCAAGGGAATTGCCGGGGACGACGATTAAAAAAGGAGGAGACATTTAACACTTTAACTGTTTGCTTAACTCCTGCTTTTGATAGCGTGGCTGAGCGGTTAGGGGCATGAAGGCAAAGGTGGAGGAGACAATCTATTAGGTTATGGATAAATGAAACTATAAGGCAATTCTTTGCTCAAATAGCATCAACTTTAACGGTAATCTAGTATTGCTTTGAATAGGAGATCGTCATTTCTTATGCTTTGGTGCAGTAATTTTAAGGCTTTATGGATAAGTAGGCGCCAAATATACGCTTTCATGATGATGGTAAAGATAACGCTTTACTTTAGATTTGAATGCTAGAATTCAGTGTTGCAAGGTGTCTTCACCGTTTCTTTCGCCCTTCAAAATACGCAAAATTGGGCACAACGACATTAGAATGCTACCTTTTAAGACAAAAGGAATACTTATTCATGGTAGTCATAAAAGCGCAACAGTTCGCGATGGTCGCACCCTTAATTGCCATGGTACCTTAGCTCCTCAAGCATTTATCTCCTTCGGCATTTCACTACAGGCGATGAGGATTCGGTTGTTGCTAAAAGCAACCACATCGAATCCTTCCCATCTATATTCGTTTTCGTTTTTTTCTTGGCAAACGAGCCATTTAGCAACTCCGCACAGAAAACTGACTGCACACATATAGAGACAGTAAAAATTTCGGTGAGAGAGGTGAATGTATTCAAAAATAATTCCTTTAGAAGGCACCGCCTCTTTATGCTATCCCCAAATGAGTCCACCAAATGATCTCACGTTTCCTGAAAACCACAAGCTGCCTTCTTTTGATATTTCCGATCGGTGTTTGAAATTTCTAAAAGCAATATGTGTACATTAGATGCGTGTAGTGGGGCAAACGTTATCAATCACCAACCGGTACATCTGACCGAAGTCAGGCTGAGTGGCAATTGTCAGGCAGGTGGTGGAATATCATCCAGAAATTTTAGCTGCTATACTATTTATAAATTGAGTGCTTTAAAGCTTAAAATACGTACCACTTTTCGAATTTTTTGATCGTGGTCAAGAAGTTGGGTTTAAGAGCCTATTTTTAGTTCTGAGACCTTCTGGTTCAGAGCGGTAACTTAATCTTACTAGGTTAAGTACACGCCACAGACAAAACTTGGTATCGGTAGGTGGCAAACCACATCTATCTTTACTGTTACGGTAATTATGCAAAGACAAACAAATTGCAGACAGGTGAGGGAGCCAATTCTACGGACTAACAATAATGTCAGCAGCAACGGTTATTCGGCGACTCAATTTATCTGACAACCAACACTCTAGGTAATGGTATCAAGATAGGACAGGGAATGAAAACCAGGCTAAAATGAACGTCAATTAAAAAAGGAGTGAAAATCTTAATTCCATTGGTTAGCTACACTTCAGATGCTAAACTTACGAATTTTGGGAGTGTCAAGCAGTAAGAAAGCCAAAAAAGAACTGATTTGGATGGGTTCTTCCACTAGGACCTTAAAAAATAATTATAGTTGAGTTTCAGAAACAGCTTTATGCTATCCTATGATACATGGTTAGCAAGTTTAAATAACCGCATTCACTGAACACGGCAAGAGATTAAAGACGTTCCTTCTTCTACCATTCAAACGCTTGAATACTTTAGCCTGTGCTTTGACGAAAACAGCTTCATTGTGGTGACTACGCCTGTATGCACAGTACACAGGGATTATAAGTTCTGCGTCACAATCATGAATTTGAAACGGAAAAAGATAAAAGGACTATTTTGCTGCATACGGATGCATCTTAGGTAAAAGTACGTCTTTTAACTGGTGAGTCTCGGTATAATTTAGATACAATAAGTACCGGTGCCACCCCGAATCCACCCTAAAGGCACGATAAGGCAGAGCTTTGCGGGGAAGAAGTATTAGCATATTAGGAAAAGGACCAGGAAGCCAAAGGCGTGGTTAGAAGGCAATGTCAACAGGGCGAAAGTGCAACCTGAGGAGAACGACTTGCCCTCGAGGTCGGATAGCTCAGGCTACTTATTTGCCTTGCTCTTCTACTAAGCGATTAATATCATTTGACAAGCTACTGTATCAATTATTCTACTCTGAAACAAAGTTATTACACATATTTAAAAGTAAAAAGTCTTAAATTTATTTTATAGTGAATGAAAAAGTATGGCTGACTTTCAACTGGGTATCACGATTGTTAGATATAAAATTAGCTCCCGTAAGCTCATTTAAATTCAATCCAACAAACCCCTGTATAGATAATCCGGTTGTTTTCCGTAAGTAGTCGCTTTTACTAGCCTATTAACAAGTGTTGATCCCACTACCCTCGGGCAAAATAAAATATCGCATTGTCAATACCTTTGGGTTAAAAATTATGGTCACTCGAAAGGGGAACCATTAGCTTGTTATGCTAATGGATTTACTTAGGTAAATAAAAGCTTAAATTTGAGTAAATTTCTTAGTTTCTATGAGACAAATACTATTATAGTTGTGAAGTGTTTTGCATTGCCTTTTGCTCGAAATTGCCTTCACTGTCCTTAAAACCGAGAACAGAGCATGATCTCCTCAATCAGTGCAATCCGTTTATTTAAGAGGATGATCTGAATTTACTTTATCCTCTGACTGCAAAAGATGGGAGCTCCGAGTCCTTTCCCCTGAGGCTTACTTTTGCGTTCCGCTGACAGATGGTCCAAAAATGACAGAAGCAATATAGGTTGCCATCTGGGAAAAATTATTTTGTCGTGCCTCTCTCCACTTCTGACGCCTTTAAACCGTCCTTTTTTGGCGAAAATAGCTGTTCATGTAGCTGTCATTAGCTTCACGATAAGGCAAACAACAGTCATCATTCACCCCAAAAACTCAACGAAATTTATTCTCATCTAAAGACCAGCCGGTGGAAGTACTTTAATTGAATCTTCCTTTGTCCAAAATTTAACGGCTTGGACACAATATTGGAAATACACACTTTAAGGGTTGGTAACCGCGCTGTGAATCCACATTTTGTTTTTCCTTGTGGAAGTATATCATCAGGATAGTTTGCCCATTTTGAAACACCTTAAAGTAAAGCAAGCTTCCATTAGGCTAAAATGCGTAGTCGAAGTATTTTCTACCGCAACTCAGTTACCGACTACACTGATAATCCACCATTGTTAAGTGATTTTATGAATCACCTACCTATCTAACACCAAGCTGCCAAAATTGAGCATTAACTTAACCACTACAAGAATCATTACAGGCTTCTGTAGCGTTTGCTGTAGTGATTTGTATCTTAACTCACGGGCATTCTTCAAGCTGACATCAAGCGTATGTGTCGTTGTCAACATGTAGCTTCCGTGTCATAAAGATAAAATTAATGATAAAGGCATTTTAAGTGCTCAAATTTTCCATCCTTTTTCAACAAGAAACAGGCTTTTAAATTTCATTTTTATAAAATGGCTTGATTCTAGGAGCAAAATTTCTGGTTATGACCACCTCCGTTTGCCTCCTATTTTAAATTTTCTGTCTATTCTATACGCGATTGCCTAATGCCAAGAATAGGCTAATTATCATCACCTGAAGGAATGTAACAAGAGGAATACGAAGGACATGGTAGGATAGAATGAGGCAGCATCTCCCTCCCTTCAACCTCCCATGCCAAGGTACAGAACCCCGCACGAGTAAGCTATGCAGTCTGAGGTCTTGGATTCCCCTGTAAAAACAGGGCTTTCTCCTGTTCCTAAAGTAGACTTTTTTCTTTCACAAGTTCAAGTTGTATCAGTTAGATTTTAGTCATATTTTTTTAGCTACAGTAAGTGGAGAATTTTGAGGGAACAATTGCGCTTGTACTGCACTACAGGCAAGGCATGCATAGTCCTCCGGGGATGAGGTGGTACCTTAGAGGTGTGGGATGGACAGTGAGTGGATCATTTTGGGATGACCAATGGTAAGTTCGCTGGCCTAACAAACGTTGAAATAAAAAGGTGTTTCTCACCACAAGTCAGACAGGAAATAACCAGGGGCGTATGGTAAAACTTTTCTAAAATGAAAGCAATAAAGAAAAAAATTGGTAGTCACGGGAACTTGCCGCCATCCGTTAATGAATGTGACACTCATTTGCTTAGCTTGCAATAAGAACTTTCTTTTGTCAAGAATTACCATTTCCTTTTACTATGAGAATCAAATTGTGTGAAAACTGTATGAGTCTGGAGGGATACGCTGAACTACATACCTTTAGGAAACGCTTCCACAGCCTTGGGACCGAGTTAAACTGGGTTCATCAAGCCATCAAGCTCCTGTTGGATTCATTTGACCTTTAATGATGTTCGGCTTTCAAGTAAGAAAAACCTACAGAGAGTATTACGAATGAGAGCCTCATGCCATTTGCATTCATTCACAGGTCACAGGGGGTCAATTCAACGAGTCATTCCAAAATCTGTATTCTTTATTGAAGGAATATTTTCTTGGAGCCCCATTAACGCCTCCTTGAGATTACCTAGAATTCAGGATAAGTAGGTCATCTCTGCAGAAAATTGCAAACTAATGCGAATTAGCCCAAATCTCGGATCCAATGCTAATTACAAAAAAGTGGCATTTTCAAAGGATATAAGTACAAGGCCTCTTAAAAACTTTATTTTGGAAACTCTTATTTACCTCTAAAGTGTAAGACGTGTCCTAAATGTATCTTTGAGGTAAAAGGCGGTCAGTAAATACGAATCTCGTGATAAATTGGAAGTCATCGGCCCCCCATCCCTGATGAGGAACCGTACCTAGAATACGCTTAAACCATAATACCTCTGTGATCTTTTGTTAATTACTACCTCATAAAGTATGTCCTCGTCCATATTTTGGTAGGGATGGAAAAACTCTCTGAAAAGTGTCTGTCCTTTCTGGTCGATGACCGGTTGAGATAAAGCAGCTCAGCATCTTTTAACTCGATGTCCAGCAGTGGAGAAGCTCTATTGGGGGAGGAGGGATCGCACCCCGAACAAGCTTAAACCGTGACACTTGCACCCTTTTAATTATCGCTACCCAATAAGCCATGTACCCATCCAACTCGTTTGCTTTTTCCAAAAATATAAAAGCTGATGTAAAAGGGGGAAACACCGAGTCTATTACACAAGTTTCTTTAAGTTATGAATAAATATACCAACAGATTTGAAGGAATAAGTGGCTTTTATCACTGTCATTTCAATGACAGGAAAAACGTTATCTTTTAAATTTACTTTACTAGCGTATTCTTTAGAATGCGGGTGGTTGAGTAAAGTGAATTGTCAAATTGCAAAGCCATTTACCACCCAATGAGAAATTCAGTGGGCTACTATGGACTGACATCTTTCCTATGACTGTGCCTTAACAAGAAGTTTACCTTAATTTTAAGTAACCTAGTTTAGAGCACCAATTGCCCTCGAAAGTTCACTATCAAAAGAACGTTTTCAGTGAAATGGCAAACACTCGAACTTGAAGGCACATGAATTTATAGTGCTGCCCAAAATCAGTCACGATCTAATTTCCGGCGACTCTTGCTACAAAAGTTTGCTACGGAGTGAGAATGCCACTGACGGTAAGGTTTATTGCAATCAAGTCCTACCGATTCTGCATTGAAGTCAAGGCCATATCTTTGCTTTCATATTTTTTATGCAGACAGTCACTTTTATTCTTGCTCAATAAATGGTTAAATATTAAGGTACGTTACAACACCCTTTGCTACTCTCTTTGATTGGACGTGCCTTGCATAAATTTCCAGTTCCATTTAGGAATACGACCAGTTTGCATTTTTTGCCAAGTGTTGATAACCTCTAGATACCACATTAAATATGCGATTGAATCATTGTGATAAGAAACGGAAGCAAGTTTTATTTCTACGCCTTGTGAAAACGACGTAATTTGGGAAATGCGCACGGCTTTACAAGTAATGAACGAGAAGTTAATCTGTGAACGAAATATTTTGGACCAATTTCTCTCCATGTGGGAAGTAAATCGTTGCCCTGATTGATGATTGAGATAGACTGTAGCGCTCCGTGACTTCTCTGAAGATAAATGAAGACATAATACTCGGGCAGAATATGTAATGTTGACCTACGGAAGACCCGGGGTGCTGCTGGCATGGCCCGGAGGCCAGAACGTTAGGCAAGGTTACAGTGGCGGAGCCCTGAATGGCCCATTACCAAAACCGAGGTTTAAGAAAATAATTAAAATATCACCTGCTAACCCTGATATTAGTTATCAGAGAATAAAATTAGGCCTAACTGTAGCCTAGTGGCACACGAGGGCTTCAAGTTAAATTGAACTAATAACTTATGCTAGCGAGTAGTTGCTGTGCAAGTGCTAAAAGTCAAGCTGGTAACTTTTGGTATGATAGGAAGTCCTTTTTAGTAGCAAACGGATTATTTTCCATAAATACCAATGCAACAATTTTGTTATTTACTGGGCACCCATGTATTTTACCTAAAGCATAAAATAATTTAAAAATCCACCGAAGATCCTGGGGGTTGACTGACAGATTTTACGCATTGAGATGTAGTAGTTCGAGTTGCTCCGATTTACAGTTATAGAAACCTAAGTTTACTTGTTATTCTCAGGAAGATGTCACAGTCATGGATAACATCATGAGTAGTTATTATAGGTCGAAAAGATATTCTACTTGGAATTTGGATAAATTGATAATTTTTTTGGGTTCTCACCGAATTTTGTGTGTCACAACTCTTGTCACCATTCCGCAGAATGTTTTTTGAGTTTATTTAGAGAATAGGAATGCATATTACAGAGAAATAGCTTGTTGATCTTGGGAATGATCTCTTGTAGGGAGAAAATAAAATACCATTATAAGTAGCAATATAGAGAGCAACTCACATCAAACCTACATTCAAAAAGTACGGTTTGGCATTATGTTACATACATGGACCTCAAATTTATGACTGCCTTTCAAGTGTAATCCACCGGCCGAAACCAAAACGGCCGCCCAACTCTCCAAACCATAAAAAATGTGTATTCATACCCCCCTCGAAGAGTGATATTTGATAAAGCTAGGATAATTGTTGAAATAAAATATTTGTAGTACCTTTTTTGGATGGAGTACAAATACGTGAATCCACTAAAATCATCCAGTTAAAAAAAGACCTAATTTCAACCCCCTACCTACTGGCAATCCGAACATTGCGCCCGTTTGTACCTTTACACCAAAGTGGTTGCCATCATATTGATTTCGCCACTGTGTAAATGCATAAACAAAAATACGGAATAAAGTAAGCAATCGATGTGGATTGGACATGTTAATTTGATCGTGGAAGTTCAGCTGTGACCTTTGAATGTGGAATTAATCAGGTCAACTGATCACTTATGCAGCAACTAACGCACTTTTGTCATCAGTAGACGAAGAACGTTTGAAGAACTTTTCTAATTTTATTGAATTCTGTGATAGCCTTTCACTGATCCTCCTAACTCTGGTGAACTTATTTTGATAACAAATCTAAATGAATATTCTTTTGGACAAATATCATCTTGAACCAAATAATTCCTTAATAACTGAACCCATTACTTCTAAAATGAAAAAAAAAATAAATGGAAAGCAATGAACAAAACAAATTTGTAGATAAAGGGCTTTGTGTCCCAATTTCAATGTCATAAATGCATAGATTCCTCTTAAGTTAATCTAGTATTTTATTTTATTTTGGCTTCAATGAAGTTGGATAACCATGAACAAAAATATTGTCGAATGGTATTAAGTTCACCACATCGTTACCTTTCATAAGGTTAATACGAGAAAACAATTAAGCAACTACTGAGATAAACAATGCGTAGATGAATACTCAAGGAAAACCTACGGAGTTCCTCATAATCGAATCTAATTTGTTGCCACTTAAGCGCACCGTGCACCAGCAATGAGGACATAGCGAGGTAGGACCCATCGCACACCGACGCGGCTACCCATTGGCTTGCTTGTGCCCCATGACAGCATAAATTTGCGAATTTTTATACAGGCGCATCATTTGGACTCATCTACTTACTGATGGCACCCTCTGGCCTTCTCTTTTTCGCGACAGCGGCTATGCTATTCCTGGTTCAAACGCCTGCCTACGCAAACCGCAATGCCTTGGAGGAGGAGCTGGGGTTTGAAGATCTGCCCGTAAGTGAGAATTCGCTTGATGAAGACTACTACAATGCCCTTCCCTACCGCTTGGACCGCCGTGGCTTTCTACACAGTGGACGTCTGGGAAGACGGGGATTTATGCCATCTCACCAGCCCTCAAAGAAGGGCTTTCTCACGGCTAGCCGACTAGGCTAAATTGGAGACCTCGGTTCCTTCAAGATAATTTCCACCTTCACAGAAGCATTTACTGGGTGACCTCTAATCTCTTTGACTCTAATAAATAACCATGATACCTTTATATTGTTCCATACTACCACTCATGCATTGCCCTACACACACATGTACATCAAGTCTGTGTTACTTTGAGAAGCGTGTGAAGCAAATACAACGTTTCAAGCATTACTTCGCTTTCCTTGATGTTTTGCTGGTAACCAATTACTCAGGCTGAAACTTTGAAATGCACTGGAATAGGTGTCAGTTCAAATAGAATGATAATCTATCTTCAAGACCATATTCCTATTAGATGCATGATAATCCAGTATTTTGAAAAGAGTCGTGTATGCATACCTGCACAATGTATTTCTACGATGATCCTGATAACTGAACTGAATTAGCAATGCCAAAAATATGCCAACTCGAGGAAATTGCCCATTTAAGTTACGCAAAACCGCATCATTTGAAACTACACTTTTGCTAAGATTTGATAAGGTTATATAAAACCTTGCATTTCATGCCTAAATAAAAATAAACCTAAAAAAGCTTTACAAAACTCAAACACTATGCTTATATTTTAATTGATAGAGATAGATTATTCAGTTTACCGGACAGCAAGTTTTTAAGGATTCGTGAAGAAACTTCGGTGTGCAATGAAAGGAAAACTCTATGAAACCCTATTTTAAGAACAAATAATTATTTCTCAGAGGAGTTCAAAACACTTCGCCATCATATTTTATCCAAACTTTGAACGTGTGCAAATAGAGTCAAAACTTAGAGAAATATTTTGCAATGATACCTTGAAATTCTCATTCCACTATTTCATTAATGGAGGGCCAGATTCAAAGTAACTGTTTATGTTACTTGAAAGGATAAACAAAATTGGGCTAAATAATTCAGAAATATTCAAACACGCTACTACAGCTAGTAAAAGTGATTGTTTTTGTGCTTTCTGACCATTTTCGACTCATTTCCAAAGCAGCGTGTCTTGCTTGCAACCCCTGCGTACCATTGTTTACCTGCTTTGACATTAAAAAGTCCTTTGAAACAGCATGGCAGGTTTTCCGGCAATCATAATTTTCAATTTTTCGGCGATGTTACCAAACTTTATTCCATATTACCCTGTTAAGTAGTTTCAAGCAATGCTGCCCATAAAAGAGACCTACACCGGATTTGTTTCCTCTACAATTACCCATTATGCTTACTTGGCAGCCTCACCACGATGTGTAGGTTCCACAAAACAGCTCTGTAAAATCGGTAGAAATGAAGCCATTCACAAATAATAAGTTTAATATTTTGGGCGTGTTATGGTGCTTTTAAGCGTAAAAAAGGGAGTTAATTTCTGTAGTTTATTAGTCAACAAAAGGTCCTCCATCACGTACTTGAATCAGATGGGATGGTCGACAAAATAAACAGAAAGCATATTTTCACGCGTTAAACCTGAGTGTCGAACACATAAAATTAGAAGGCCTTTTAGTGTTGTTGTCACAGAAAACAATACTTTGCGTATGTCGCAGTAGTAAATTTAAGAAGAAATGCATAATCTTTTGCTGATAGGATGAGTGCGATCTCCATGTCGTTTTCATCTCTTCCGATCCATCTCTACTAGTTTTACCCTATAGGGTTGAAAGAAAAGCTCACTGATTTGCGTGATTTGTCGCGATTTAACTTAGCGACAGTTCAAAAATCCTGGAATAGTTATTATCTTGCAAAGCTGTAACGCACAACTTTTTCCAAACTGATTAAAATCTAGACTTTTATGAATTGGATCCTAAATGATATGCAAGGTTGTGCATTTTGCACTGTCTAAACGAAGTAACACGTGCATAAAGTTTTATAGCTTGTAAGAAGCGTTCTACGCTCTAATTAGAATACAAACTAATCAAGATTAGAGAATCGACATTCAAGCCAAAATCGGATGATCAACTGCGATTATGGAAAATCCGGAAAACGGAAGATTCCACTCCAGCAACTAAATTTCCTTATAAGAAAAAGACAAAAAATTAATATAATTTTTAGAACCCCAAAGCAAATTTCTGTCATATTTTTTGGCATTTTGAAAAGCCTGTGGAATATCTACCAAGTTCGACTAACAATAATATGGCCTTTATAAGCCATGAGACAAAGCTGAAATAACTTCCAGTGCACAAATATATGATGTCTTACTTGGTTATTGATAGGAAAAATCATGCATAAGACTCAAGTCAGATTTGATCTTATGTAAAGTGAATTCCGCAAAACCAAATTAGATTATAAAATAATTTTTTTTGATTTTCTATTATTTCTAATTTTTAAGAAGTCAGTGACTTGGACAATGGTTAGAAGTCATTTTTCTTAAAGTGTTGGGATTTTTAACAACCTAGCAACAAATTTCTCGAAAGATCTATTTAACTTGGCTGTTGTTGGATTTCACCTCATTTACAGTTGTGTAACTGGTCTTTCCGTTTGAGCTTGTGGAAGGATGGCACTAATATGGCTGGCATTATCAGCTGCTCCTTTTTCAGCAAAAAACCTAGATTCGCGATTTTTGCGTAAAATACCTATTTTGATGTTCAGGCGAGTTATTTATTAGCTTTTGAATCCGATCTGACGTTTGTTTTATGTCTCCATATTCCCCCCTAGGGTTTAATTAATCGCAATCTTATGCTGAACGAGAAAGCCTAATTAGCTATTCATTCCTCTAAGAAATACCATAGCGATGGAACGTCTGATTGAAGAACTAAATAACTCATTCAACTTTAAATTTGCGGTAAGACAGCATGCCAAACAAAAGACACACTGGAATTGATTTCAGTTGTAGAAACACCCACAGATGCACAATAAATATATAACATGAGATAAACAACTTGTATTATTATTCCAAAAAAGTGCTATTAATATACGGCAAAAATAATGCCATTAGCAGAGGGGTAATACTTCATCAAATTGCGTACACGAAAATCGCCTAAATTTAACCCCGCAATAGTTTGACGTCAATCCATACTGGCTTATAACTTTTCTTTATACGTAAGTAAAAATATAGTAGGAATGCTACTATAAAACCTGTATTAGTGTGAAGCATAGAACAGTTGAGCAGAGCGCCCATTGTTATGTAACATAAATGGACAGAAAACCTCTAATGTCTGCATTCGAAAACGTCTTAAAATAAGATGAATTAAGAAAGCGTACGTTCCTCCTAGAAAAGGAAGTAAACTCAGATATATTTGGAAAAAAGTACAAATAGAACAGACCCTTATTTGGGTGGCAAATGCTCCTCCGTGAGATGTGATGCTATCCTTACTCGATGAAATTGTATACCTTCGATGAGTTTCCTGAATTCGGTTACTTTTCACTCTATCAAGTTATATTTCCCATTTTTACCATCATTGTTGAAAGTGACATGAGAAAAGTGTTTCATTTTGTTGTTAAAAGTTTGTTCAACCTCTTCTCCGCATTTAGATGTTTGTGCTACAGTATCCTTACAATTGTTTAAGCACACACTAATTCCTCGGTGGTTTAACGCTTGAGCTACTTCCCCAGCCCAATGTTCCTTGCAACATTTTCTAACTACGCAGTAAAATTATCCCCTTGAGCAAAAAATTCCGTTTGTTGGATTTCTGGGCTTTCATGCAATAAAACCCAATTTTGGTGGAAGCGTTCTATATTACAGTAATTTTTTGCAACCTGTTAGAAGATGCATCTAAGTCGGAGTAAGTATAGAGTATTCAGGCGAACTTGCATCTCTTATTCAAAAATCAACGTTTTGCCCACTAAATTGATACTATTTACAGCTTTGTTATGGAACCATCACTGAATTCTTGCGCAGGAAGCATATACACTCATGATAAAGACAGTATTTAAAAAGGTAGCTTTGAGATCCGTTGCCTTTTGAACCCGAGTTGGCTTTTAAAAAGCGGAATTTATTTTAACTCATTTGCAGCTCAAACAGTAACATGATAGAGGAATAACATTTATGACCATGCTAAACGAACTTTATGCCTTAAAATCCAAATAATCAAACAACTTCTTGAGGAATTTTGCCTTGTTACCACATTTAAACTTTGAAGTTGCAGGAGACAAGAGCAGAGAACTTCAAATGGTAGAGAGATCGTGATTTGGAGTAGTAAACCGCACAAGAGAGTAAAATACTTTGGTTATTTGTATAATTCTTTATTTTTGATTGCGAGGGCACTTGAGGCTCCGTCATTGTACTTCCGCTCGACGGCCAGGCCTCCGGGTCATGTTAGTAGCCCTGCCCTCTGTCCTTCTCTACGTCGGTGACACACTTTCGGTCCCAGTATTATGAATTCTTTTGACTTCAGGAAAGGCTCAAGGGAGCTACAAAACATACCCAACTCGCTGATTTACCATTAAACTTTCAGCCTGGTGTTATGGTCAGATATAAATGTACAAATGGCTTCATTTAAACAACGTGGGTTTCGAAAATCGCGCCAAACTTACTCGGATAAGCACAGATGAGTTGAAAATTGTTTCAGTCAGCTAAAACAAGCCAAAAATTAAGGTAATGGGAATCAAGAGTGATTAAGATTTTAGTACAAATTTTTGGATCAAGGTTGAGAAAGAGCAATAAAATGAGGCCAATGGATTTGAGGAAATAATTTTGCTGGGTCGACGCATTAAGTTTCCAATTGTAAGTTTTAACTAGTACCTTCAGGAAACTCTGGTCTTTACAATTAGTCTGTACTTACACCATCTAAAATCTGAAAAAAGCTAAGCTAATGCTTCCTGCATTTAACTAATGACGCCAACACTAAGGCAATACTTAAAAATACGCCCCTCAATCACTTTCTATAACAGCGCCAAGATTAAAATTGGTTTGAACAATTATGTAGAAATTTCGTTGAGGGGAGTACTATTGTTAGTTCCCTAACCAAGTTAGAGGTTAAGTAGTAACTTCTAGTAAGAAATCGCTGCTAGCCTCATAATTTTGGCATTTAAGTGGAGGAAGTTAAACAAGAAACTACGAAACCTTGTATTACAAT